CGGCGCTCGTGCTCGCGACAAAATCGATAAGCAATTTTCGAGTTTTCGTTTCGGAAAAGCGACGCGACACAGAGAGAGAAAGAGAGAGAGAGAGAGAAGAAGAGAGAGAGAGAGAGGAAGAGAGAGGCAGAGAGTGAGAGAGAAAGAGAGAGGCAGAGAGAGAGAGAAAGAGAGAGAGGGAGAGAGAGAGAGAGAGAGAGAGACAGTGTGTGTGCGTTGGCGTTAAGTTTACGTGACGTCGGTGCGTCGACGATATTTCACAGGCTCGGCTGGCGTGTGTTTTCTAGGTGAACTTCGCCTTCAGCGTGTGGAAGTCGTTTCCGGAACGCATCGTCGGCTACGCTGCGCGCAACCATTACTGGGACGACTACAACAACCGCTGGGGCTACACGAGCAAGATGACCAACGACTACTCGATGGTACTCACCGGCGCTGCTTTTTATCATAGGTAAGTGGTGCCACCTCCCGACCAATGTCCTCTGTATTAAGGAGAAGGGGGGCGGGTACGCTTGTATCGCCGAGTAGTGTGTGCACAGGTAGCCGACACAGGTAGTCATATACATTGTCACCCGCATATTCTCTTCATCAACTCTATGTGAAAAGATTGGTGTCATTCTAGCATTTGAATCCATAATAATTCGTGATACTCGCTGCGTAATAAAACATATCTGCTTGCAACGTTTCTGTTAGCAAACGTGACATTACTACAGTTTTATGATAGCAATGTTGATGTTTCCGTATCGAAATTCCGCTCATCTTGGCATCGTACTAAACAATACACTCGTTCGATAAGAACGAAATATTCAGCCCCGTACTCGCGTTTATCGCTGCTGACGTCATTACGCCTCCCTTCTCCTCCCGCAGGTATTATCCTTATCTCTTCACGCACCACCTCACACCGGAGCTGCATAGCTTCGTCGGCAACCTGAGCAACTGTGAGGACATCCTGATGAACTTTCTAGTCAGCCACGTGACGAAGCTGCCGCCGATCAAGCTGAGTCAGCGGCGGCAGTACAGGGAGGCGCCGGCGGCCGACGGTCGCGCCACCTGGTCGGAGCTGCGCCGCTTCGCCGAGCGGCAGACATGCTTCAACACGTTCGCGGACGCGTTCGGCGGCGTGCCGCTGGCGCGCTCTGGCACGCGCTTCGACCCGGTGCTCTTCAGGGACCCCGTCGCAAATTTCCGCAAGAAGTACCGACAGATGGAGCTGGTGAACAGTTAGCGAGCGCCCGGCGGCTGAGCCAGAGAGAGAGAGATGAGGTGTGCTGCCATCTGGCGGCGGTAGTAAGAATTCGGGGTGGGCGTTGAAGAGTAAGGGGCAGAGAGAGAGTGAGAGAAGTATGAGAGAGAAGGGGTGATGGGCAGAAATATGTCACAGCTAGGTGGCTAGCTAGGCCCACGCCGTCAGTCTGATATGCCTTCCAGTCTGAGGAATAGCCATAATTACTTTATTAATGGCCCTTCATAGCGCCACACAAGTGGGGTGCTGTGGGCTTAACTGGCTGCACTACTGCTGACTGGAAGGAATGCTTGGCCATGGTGTAGGAATGTCTGAACAGTGACCCAAGCTTAGCCGACATTCAATAACGTCCTTATGCATACATAGCTGATTTATCATAGACGTGTAAACATTCCACAAGGTTGTGTCTCGTGTTAGTCTGCCTGTTAGATTTATTTTGCGTTAGGACGCGGGTGGGGGACGGCTAAACTGTGTTTGTCGCTGCTGATTGCGCAAACATTCGTGTTGTTCTACCCCGGATTTTTTGTACTTCCGCCGTGGATGCCAGATGGTGAGCCGGCGAGCATCGCTCAAAGGCACATGGCGCCACCATGTTGGATCATCGAGCCGCCATGTTAGATCATCAAGCCGCCATGTTGGATCATGCAGCCGCCATATTGGCGTTCTATGTGTTGGCAGGATCGCTGCGCTGCCATCACCGTGACCAAGAGTTGTTTACACACGTCCTGCGGCGTACTGGGTGGTGAACCTCATTGACCGCGCACAGCTTGCTGGCGAGGCCTGACAAATTCCTAGCTGCGGGTGATCCCCGGGGCTGTGACACCAAGAAATCATCAGGTGTCGATAGATGGTGTCTCGCGTTCGTCGGTCATACGGTGTCGCGGTCGACATCTACACGCACCCGCACTTTGTACTGTAATTTACATAGCTCCGCCCATATCCCTCTCTATATACATATATACATAATATCAACATTATAATTTGCGTATTGTCGTACTTATGCAAGATCCAGTTGGTGGTGGTGGCGCGCGTGGGGGGAGGGTAGTGAGGGGGTAGGGGTGTTGATCCACGTGAACCGGTAAGTGTGTGTGCGCGTGGCGACTCATCCGTTTACAGTCTTTCACACGGAGGCGTTGTAATCTAGTACTAGTACTACGTAATACTCATCGCAATGCTATACCGGTGTTACCTTCAGAATGGCACAGCTTCGAGGGACGTAGAGGGTTGGCAGTGAGTTATCGCAAGTTACGCGTGTATGGTTCGGTTATATTTGCACTACGACTGTTACCGCAGAGGCATGTGTGGGCTTCGCGTCGTCCGTGGCTGCGCTACAGCATTTCTCTTGTCAAAAACTCAATGGAGCGCGAACCTATTAGTCGATGTGATGTGGCGCAGATTTATCTTTTAATTTCGCTGCACTCGTCTTTTCACACGCACAAGTCGCAGAGATAGAGCGAGGGAGAAAGAGAGAGGGGGGGGGGGAGAGAGAGCGCGAGCAAGAGAGTGAGAGGCGAGAGAGGGGGAGTGAGAGATAGAGAGAGAGAGAGAGAAAAAGAGCAAGAGAAATCTTCTAGACAATTCTCTGGACAGAATGCTAGAAGACCGTCACTTAAGATTTCATTTCCGCGCCATTCACTGTCGTGGGATCTGTGCGGCACTCAGCGAAATGAAAGCTGACCTTTTTCACGTTTCCACCGTTTTCCGTCTAAGTCCTAATTCTAAAGGATTCTGAATGCTGTCACGCGGGCGTGCGCACTACGCGTAAATATCAGTGTGGACGAGTTTGCTCGACAGCCGGAACTACCAACGCTCATTCTACGTACCAATTACCGTTCTAAGAGGGAAATTCCTCGCGGGAAACTGCATTTGAGTTTGCACTCTCATTACACGTCACTTTTCCCCGCACCGCGTTTTCTATATATACGGAGTAATGATTTTACTCCCCAGAGAAATCGGAGCGCTCACCCCCCCCCCTCCCCCCAACCTTCGTACTTGCTTGGGTAGAAATGATTACCGTTGTGTAATTATAGCTGCTGGTTACAGCGACTCCTCGCCACAGATCTCAGCGCTGCCACGTCGGCGATGTCGTTGCCCGTGATGTCTTGCGAATGTTCTATACGCTGTAGAAATAAGAAAATGTTGGAAAGCTGCAGGTGTTGATCGACCGGGCGGGGGCGCAAGCCAGCCAGCACCGCTGGTTGTTTGGCACGATCCAGGTTGTGTGTTTTATTACCCGTAGGCGCTTGTAATACGCGTTAACGTTTGCGTGCGAATGAAATCCTCGGGCGTCGTGGTTTTTTATTCGGGCCGAGATTAACGTGATGATGATTTACCGCTATAAGCTCGCAGCTGACGCTCGCCGGAGCTTCTCAGTGTAAGCGTACCGACCGTCGCCATTTACTTCCCAGATGCGGCAACGAACGTGTGTGCACGTGGAAGGCTCTTCTGCTGCGGGCATGAACAGTGACCACATAGATATTGTTGTGTTTATACGAACGTAGCTGCCATGAGTTTTTGATGCGGTCTTCTTTCTGCACGCTAGTGAAAACATGCGAGCATCGTATCAGGAGTGTATCGTATAGATATCTATATTATATACGTATCACTGGATACATTTCAAGATGGTTTGAGCCGCCTACGACAGTGATACTTAATGTCCTCGCTGGGCAGGTGTAAATTATCCGAGCACGGTACTAAAGAATATTACATAGATGAGTCATTTAATACTTGTGGTGGACACCGTGATCGATTGCTACTAGGTTCGATCTCAGCTGCTATATAGTCCACCTACTCTGTTGAATAGGATGTCACTACGGTTTAACACATGTACATGTTGTAATTGTCTATCGCCAGAGAGAGTATAATTGCGTACATCGAACATAGCCACAGTTTAGTGGCTATATTTATGAATTTGCTAACAACAGTTTCAATCAGCTGGGAGTGGCGCCGGAATTTGATATTACAATATGCCTCGTAGCCGAGTGTGCTTGAGCATTAATTCTACTGTTGTCTGTACCACGGTGTCTGGCACGTTTAAGGTTTTCATCCGTGTGCTGTAATGCACATTATTCTATTCTATTCTATGCTGTTCATCGCAGTCAATATTGTACATCGTATCGTGAGTGTGTGCGTGTATGTATGTATGTTTGTGTATGACTGCGGGAGCGTGTGCGTGTATGTATGGTTGTGTGTGACTCTGCGGGGGCGTGTGCGCATTAGTGTGAAAATGTTTGACTGAGCGCATTTGCATCCTTTATCTTTATTCGAAATAATGGTAGTTTGTATCTGAGAGAGCGCGAGAGGATGAGAGCGAGAGCGAGAGAGAGAGAGAGAGAGAGAGAGAGAGAGAGAGAGAGAGAGAGCGAAAGAGGGGGAGAGAGAGAAGTAAGTGGGAGATAAAAAGAGATGTGAATGGGTGAGGTACACTGGTGAGTGAAGTCGAGGAGACACCGGTTGTACGCTTTGTGAGAGTCGGTGATACGAGAAGTGTTGTCATTATTGGATTCTCCGTGTGGCATAGTCAAGGGAGAATGTGAGAGAGCAATCGAGCGAGCGAGCGAGCGAGAGATAGATAGATAGAGAGAGAGAGAGAGAGAGAGAGAGAGAGAGAGAGAG